AACAGATTTTCTTGTTTTTCATCAAACAAAAAAGGATTTGGTTCAGTTTCTTAACGACTCAGCTTCTTGACGTTATTGAGTAAAACAAAAGCAGCCAGGCAGATGGTAACTCCTGGATGACGGTAATTGTTTGTGAACGTCACAGGGATGTTGTTCAGTGTGGTTACTGTTGTTGGATACTGACTATCTACACATTTCCTATAACATCTACCATTACGTCTAGTCTTAACAGAATACCTGAATCCGTCTTGATTCACAAAGAGGTGTCCACCTCTATCATTTCCAGAAGATCTACTCTTACTTGTGCTTTAGCCGTATCAGATAGATAGCGGTATACAGTTCAAAGGTCAAATATCTTATAACGTCATCAAACAGTAGTGCAAAATACAAAGAAAGTTATTGGTGCAAAGTAAATAATCATTTACTCACATCTAGAGTGAATAATGAATTATTGTTTTCATTTCGACAACAATTTTATTTGATTTTTGTAATCAATGTTTTGATAAGCCAGTATAATGGCATTCACAAACCAATATATGAAAAAACAACTTGTAAAAGTTTGATTATGTTGCATCAACAGAATGAATAGTGACATAATGTAATTATGATTATTGTTTCTGTTATATAAACCACTAGTTCTCTTCATGTCTTCATACATACGGTATATATATCTGGCTATAAAAGTATTTATTTAAATTTTTCTTATTTCCTTTCCTCGATTTTTCCCTTTCCTACATGTTTCTAATAGCATAATTATAGTTGACCAGGTGAATTATACTTGTAAGTATTGAAATAGATTTTACTTATTTTTGTCCAGGTAACTACAGGTAATGTTTTTTAAAATGTTGGCTGAGTGGTTATGAACCCAACGCCTACCTGTAACTTTTACCTGTGCTGTGTTAATGGCATTGTGTTTATTCTAATGTGAATTCTGATGCATTTCACTATTCAAAATAAAAATAAATTGTTAGCTACAAACTCACAATAATTAATAGTTGAAAAATCAAACACTTGAAAGGAACAAAAGATCTGGGATAAATGAAAGTCATCCTATTTGGAGGAGAGATTATACGATTTACTAGTCATTCTCAAAAGTGTATTTAAAGTAGGTGTTTAATATACCGAGGTGTATATAGGGGAGTGTTTATTTGTCAAGGAATTATTAATTGTAAATATTAATACGAGATAAGTGGACGACATATTACATGTTCAAATCTGACTTTGTATAATCAAGTAATATTTTTGTTTTACCGGTAAAACGGATCGAAAAAAAAACTTTAAATCAGAAAGTACCCTACCTTTGAAAGATTTGAAAGTTTTATGTTCCATTTTAATAATTACACATTATCTTTATTTTTCCATGTGTTTAATGCTATGGTACCAAATACTAATAAACGGTATCGCGTAGCCTTGGGTTGTATTGTCTGTGGGCTTAAATACCAGGAGGCCATGGGCTCTACCCATTATATGTTAGGAATTTTTTCACATTAACTTTGTGGACCCTAGTGTACTTCTAGTGTACCTGTAGTCTTTTACCTGTGAACTAGAAGTCTTTCCTTCGTGCACAACAAGTGAACAAGGTTGTACAGATTACTCTACATTCAACTATAGGACGAGGAAATTGTTGAAATTTAGTAGAAAGCCACACATTAAGGTGACGTGAACACTGATATAATATGGTGATTGATCGAATATTGATCCATTTATATAGACAAATGGACAAATTAATACATTGTTCTTATATGTATCTTACTGGCAGGTGAGACATCCTAACATGTAACCCAACAGCGAGAACTTTTAACTATATCTATGTATTAATTTCAACTTCAGCCTCTAAACGCGTCCTTTTTATTTAATTTTATTGTGATCTAGCTTAAATCCTTGTTTAGGCCATATCTCGACATTTTAACGCTCCGCTAGAGTCAAAAGCAAAACATTTCAGCTGATGATATTCCAAACAGATCAGGAAATAAATTCGCATTGTGTAAGTCAATTGGCGGTGACTTGTTCTTGTCATGTCTTTTGATGTTGTGCTTGTTATTGCACGCACATGAAGCTAATATTCTGTTCATTTTTTCAGACACGCAAAAACGATTTGTTCAATGTAAACCTTTTTGTAAAATCACAAAGTTTTTGTACTTTTAAAATGTTAAATTATGTAATTGGGACGACTGTATTGAGACGTAGATAAGTGGCCTACGAGGTGATTGACCGCTTGGTTAACATACATTGTATAAGGCATATACTTGTACCTGACTCTCAGAAATAAGGATTATTGTTAAATCATTAAATATATGAGTAGTAACGTTTCATTTTGTTTAGTTTATGAGATGAAAAATCCAAAGGAACATATTGAAATTTTTACCAAGTTTTCCACTGAATTCAGTATGTCATAAACCGAATATAGCAAAACGTGTAATCTTTATCTAAACGAGAAAACCTTTAAATAAGCATACTCTATATCTACAATATGTCACCCTCTGCAAGAAATGCATGATTAGACGGTTGTCTCTCCAAATCTTTCTTAAAATTAAGACTAAAAACTAAAGCGTTTGAAAGCACAATGCCGAAACATATCAAGCGTGAATTGACTCCAAAATCTTTCTATGCGCATGCGTAGTGTATTTTTACCATTACCCACATATTTACTTGGATGTACAGGGCATGTGTAATACAGGTAAATCATCTTATCTATTCGAATTCGATTTCAGGTTTTATTATTTCAACAGTATACACAGTGTTATTCTTGTTACATATATAATTGTCCAACTGATTAACATTATATAACTTTGTTTCTTTGTGTCTACACTGGTTGATATGCTACATACAATGAGTATATTTTATTGACTGGGTATGTTAGGAACACTTAGTGTAACTCTTAATTTTTCGGGTGCTTGCTTATGTGGCATGTTGGTTACCTTTTATCTACCTGGGATAAGAGAGATGTGTGTAAATCTAACCAAGTACAGACATACTCCGCTAATGTGATCTTAAACAATTATACTGCGATATTAATAAAAGATATGAAAACATAATAACGAAATTTATGATGCACGAATTCACTAACCATTGATGGGAAAGCTACATATTTTGCTCTTAGCCACAGGTAAACACATTGCACAGCACGTGTTTGATAGAGGTAAGTCATCATTTTATCTATGTAAATCTGATTTCAGTTTTCTTTATATCGGTACTGTACTGTATCAGTCAGACATTACCAACATATCAACAGAATCTCCATTCATACTGAACTTTGATAAGACTATTGCAAAATATGAACTGATGCAGGCCAATATCGTAATACAAACATCATACGTGATTTATATGATATTTGTGATATGGAGAAAATGATAAAATCTCCAACACTCTTTATCAAACCTAGCTATAATTTTTCAACAATCACATATTGTGGTTTTCCACACACCCACACACACACACACACACACTCTCTCTCTCTCTCTCTCTCTCTCTCTCTCTCTCTCTCTCTCTCTCTCTCTCTCTCTCACACACACACACACACACACACACCCACACACACACACACATATATATTAGAATAACTTAAAACAACACGTCGAATTAAGCATTAGTGCTTTCATTCCTGAATCTTCATGATGCTTAATAAATTGCCTAGATACAATGTCTGTGACGTAATAACAAGAGTGATTATGTGACGACATAATTGAATGGGAGATCATTATTCTATTCGGAGAATCCCATTGAAAGAAGAGAAAAGGAAATGTATTTTATTAGAACTTTTAAACCCAAACTAAACAGTATTGTTCAAGAATCATATAAACTACGTAATGACTTTGTATTGTTTTGTGAATAATTTACCAAAATCTGTGTGGGTATTTCTCAGTATCGGGAAACTACAGGCTTTGATTGTTTTGTGAATAATTTACCAAAACCTGTGTGGGTATTTTTCAGTATCGGAACACTATTTGCTTTGTATTGTTTTGTGAATAATTTACCAAAACCTGTGTGGGTATTTTTCAGTATCGGAACACTATTTGCTTTGTATTGTTTTGTGAATAATTTACCATACCTGTGTGGGTATTTCTCTGTATCGGGACACCATTTGCTTTGTATTGTTTTGTGAATAATTTACCCATACCTGTGTGGGTATTTCTCGGTATCGTAACACTACAGAATTTGTATTGACATCAGTTTGCTATTGTTCTTTACATGCTTTCCTCTAAAGGTTGTTTGTGAATTCTGTCTTAAAAGTCAGTAAACTATGGATATTTTTGATAATTCAACATCAAATATTCTAGATCTGGAATAGTGAACATTTAAATCCTTGTTAAATGGAACACTCGGCACAATCGGAGAAGGAACATAATATCGGATACAATGGAAAATCTGTTCTGGAACGAAAGAAAAAGCCGGGAAAAGTTGCACATTCTGAGCATGAGTAAAATTATTGAACACGCACGACACTAAAACACATTTTCATATACAATGCATTTTTAACCTATTCAACTTCATTGCTTGACGAAATTGATAATTAGCTCTCCTTATCTGACGACTTGTTACCACAGTCCAGTGCACAAACCCCCTTTCATGATCATGTAGTTATGATTACCTATGAAAGAGAATTAGGTGTACTGTCAACTATTTTTTTTTCATCATGAGAGGGACCAGATTATACAACAACATGCCCGAACAGATTTCCTATAGGATATAAGTAGTTCGCAAAGCGTCCAGGGCCTAGTGCCCATGACAATAATGACCACAACGTTCTAGATAAAACGCTGGAAATAATGACAGGTTGAAAAGATGTTTAAAAATACGATATGTAGTTGGTAGTTCATTTCAAATTTTTACTGTTCTGTTTGAAAAATGTTTTTTCTTAGCATAGCTGTGGATCGTTTAGGAAATATTTTCTTTGAATGACCTCTGTGACTATGGAGATCCGATATCTTATTGAACCATAATACAAAAACGGAAAATACATCAGTTTGTGTTATTTTCCAGAGCGAGGCTATAGTAATACAATGACGGAGACCAGTGCTGTCAATGTGAAATGGACATCTCGATTTGAGTATATTGTAGCGTTACTGGGATACTCCATTGGTTTACCAGAATTCTGGAGGGTACCATACCTTACATTCCGGAACGGAGGGGGTAATTATGCAATAACGAGATAATTAATCTGTCTGTCTGTCTGTCAGGCTAACTGTCTGTCTGTCAGAGATAGATGAATCCCCGAAGAAGATAAATTCTTGTGAAAAAATACATACATATTGACAGACGCATACCATCGCCCAGTGTTGCCAAATACTAGATAACTACACGGTAAAGTTTACTTTTTGATTATGACCTGACTCTCCAAAATGATGTTATAATCACATATAGCACGCGGTGTAAAGGTATTTTTAAACTAAATTTTGTTCTGAAATTGGAAACATACTAACAAGTATAGAGCATGTCTTATTTAATATTGCATAGGATATTTGAAGATGAGATGATGACAATTTTGTTGTGATTGATAGATGACAAGTCGACTGTCCGCTAGTAAATTGGTCCATGTCAACTCGTCCCGAAAGTGTTATGAGACGATGCATTACGACACTCGCCAGCCTACGCTGCTGAGCTGCTACGATAGGATGTGTTTCACGTTCTTTCATTTGGGCGTTTACCACGATATCTCATAGACAATGTGTATATATTCATATGTCCCTTTGCTCTCTGTCAAAGTAATATTTCCTAATCAAATTGCCGTGATGATCGGAAAACTTCCCCATTGTTTTCTTCAATTTACATCTTCTCGAAACTCTATGTTGTAACTATCATTTAGCTGATCACAGGAAGAAAACATGATATTGAAAGCATCGAATATCTTGAGTACTGCTGATGTTGTTAGCGCCTTTAGTAATAACTGAAGTTCAACAGGGAATAGCACCTTTAAAGACAACTTGGAATTAGACGCAGTAGTGCCAAATACTGACTTAAACTATTTGTATGTTGGCACATAATGTACCGTTTTTGAACGTTCATGCCTACTTCTTGTAATAGGTCTCGACACTGCTTTTAAATAAGATTTTTCTCAAACCTCACACACTTACAAAGACTATGACAGCTTCAACAAACGCGATTCGAGTCTAAGTGATCTACGATTTAAGGTCAACGTCAAGGTCACCATTTCTATGACTAACAAGTAATTATAAGCCATCTAGCAGCTTCTTGTCCTTAGATTTTGATTAAACTTCACACACGTATGTACTATACGAATGTTTGATATCATACTTGTGCATTTTAGAGTACGATAGTTTTGTAACGGCATATCCCAACTCCCATCCCCCTAAAAAGTATTACAGTGTGGCATTTCAGATCGGTGTACCCCTTTATTTTGAACAGTTTTGGAATGAATGACTTGGATAGTATACCCCTCTCTACCTACAGAAAACCTTAAGCTTATAACCAAAATGATATTGATATTTACATTAGTCCGTATCAATCGATATTGCAGGCCCTTTCATTATCGCCTACATCCTGTTGATGCTGGTGTGCGGCCTGCCTTTGTACTTCCTCGAGTTAGCACTTTCGCAGTACTCTGGTAAAGGACCATGGAAATTCTGGGACATCTGTCCACTACTACGAGGTATTGGTTGTACAACGGTATATTCAACGTGGAGGTGAAAGATTGGAAAAAGAATCGGTGTAGTAGCATCGACCAACTGAATTAAAAATTAGTTCCAGATTTGTATGAATACTCCCTGTCCCCATCAAAATAGGAAACCGTTTAAGTTAATTTGCTATTTCTATAAGATGAAATATTTAACGAAAAATAAACAGATGTAAGCATTTCGAGGATGATAATTGGTAGGTAGGTTACGTTAATGTTGTTAATGTTGATGCAGGGATTGGAATCGCTATAGCAGTTTTCAATGGTATAAGCTCCATAAACACTGCTATAATGGAGGCCTGGGCTTTTGAGTATTTCGTGAACTCCTTTAAAGCAGTCCTGCCCTGGACAAACTGTGACAATGACTGGAACACCCCGGCATGTTACAAGGAGGGCTCACACGACATTGCTGGGAACGTCTCTTTGTATGACAACAATAGAAACTTGAGCATGGTGGTAATGTAAATTTTTGTATCATTGGAAGAATTTTCATACTTTTCTCTGAGTAACCGAAATACTTAGTTGATAACATTTCAATCACTGAGACCTGAGTGTTCACAATAGCACTCCAGGTACAAATATGTCCATTAATAATCCATATAACACATTCAGCTCTGAGAACTGAAGCAATCGGTATCAATTCTTTCTAATAGAAATATTCCCAATCATATACTTGTGGTAATCGGTTTTATGATAAAAACTTTTTTCAATAAATGTATTATATATAGTACAATTTGATGCACTACAGTAGAGTATTTTCCGCTGTTTAATCACATAGAGTGTTTCCAGTTTTGTAATGTTGTAAAGTATTGCTTCATCAAAATTTCCAACTTCAATGTTCCAGAACTTGACGTATTCATTAACGGCGATTTTTAAACAGAATGAAACAATACAACATCCAGTAGATTCCGTTAACGAGTTCTGGCTGTAAGTATATAAACTATGTACATAGTTTCTCTTTCTTTTTCGAAACTAGACAGAGTACTTGCTCATCTTTCATGTATATTTATCATCTATATTCATGTTTTGAAATGTAACCCATTCATTTTTTCATTAATAAATAAAATGATAATATGCCCTTTTCCAGTCAAATATAATACTTAAATTTGTCTCAATATTTTGCATAATACTGAAACATACTGCTGTAAAATGGTAGTCGTCGTCTTACGTTAGATGAAGTTTGTATACATTACAAGTTATTTCCTGAATCGATATTCAGTAGAAATTATGAAATTGACATAGATGCACACATTCTGAGGAGTTTTTTGCTTTTATTAGATATCGGATCCTGAAGATATCAGATGGGATTGGCTTCCTGGGATCTATCAGTGTTTTGTTTGTTGTTTACTTGTTTGTGATACGACTAATAGCTGCAATCACCATAGTGAAAAGTGTCGAAAGTATGGGCAAGGTATTTATACTCTATGAGCAAGGTATTTATACTCCATGGGCAAGGTATCTATACTCTATGGGCAAGGTATTTATACTCTATGGGCAAGGTATTTATACTCTATGGGCGAGGTATTTATACTCTATGGGCAAGGTATTTATACTCCGTGGGCAAGGTATTTATACTCTATGGCCAAGATATTCATATCCTTTTGGCAATGTTTACATACTCTCTGCAATTTGCTAATAACCAAAATGTGATATGTTTTTAGTTGCTTTTGAAAGAACATGATATGACATCAGTTTTGTTGGAAACCATACTTGCCGCAAATTCATGAAAGATTAGATGTGATAAAACGTTTGATGATAAACGAATGACAAAGTAATACCATTCTTTTTCCTCTAGGTATTGTATATAACAGCACTACTACCTCTAGTTTTGGTGATAGTAATCTGGATACGGGCCTTGACTTTACCAGGTGCTGCTACAGGGATGTTGTATTTTGTATCGGCTGACTTCGGAAGGTTTGCTGATCCACAGGTAGAAATTTTATCATCATGATTTAAATTTATACACCGTACCGTGTAGTTCACATCAGAGAGCTTTTGACTGGAAACTCGAAACTGGAACACTATTTTTCTTATTCCTAAAATTATCTCAATTTCGGTTTGGTAACAAATAAGTCACGAAAGGGTATTTTAGCGCTTTAATCAAACATAAATATCTTTTAAAACATATTTCCTACGTCATTGGTTTTTGTACACTTGTAGTTGTGGATAGAAGCCTCTTTCCAGACGTTCATAACACTTGGTCCAGGCTGGGGAGGGCTGATGATGATTGGAGCTCATAATAAATTTCACACGAACTGCTTCCAGTAAATATCTATACATTTATTTATTTATGTATTCATTTTTTGTGATTTTCCCTAACGGTTAAGTGACATGAAATTAAAAATCGATAACCGGTAAGCCCTGAACAACATGATCTCAATATCATACTGAATTTGCATTACCGAAATCAACCAAACTTGTATGACGTTACACATTCTGTTATTATGAAAGAATGATTTTTTTCATAATAATTATTGTAATTTACCATTGACTACAATAAACACAACATAACCTATTTCATGGGTACCTATTCCAATTACATTTTTGCTGTCTGACATATCGTATTAAATGGATAAAATCATCATTATGCCAATTTTCCTTGCAAGGTCTGCTGTAATTTCAACAGCGGCGACGTTGACGTTTGGGCTTCTCAATGGTCTCGTGGTGTTTTCCGTGCTCGGTGTGATGTCAGAAGAGATCGGCGTCCCAATTAAAGACGTAATGACCTCAGGTTAGTATGGCACGTCTCAAACGATTTGGTATACTTACCTCGGTTTTCAAAAATAACTTGAGAATATCGACATGTAAGTAAACTCAAACAACCTGACGTAATGAACAAGTGAAACATTTACTCGGAGACAGTTGAACAACAAAAAATATAAAGATGATGTGTTTCGATACTGTAATAATATTATGTCCACAACTGCATATCATGTAAACAAATGTGACAACAAAGTTACCAGGCATAATAACGCTTTGGGTACACATAATAACGCTTTGGGTACACATAATAACGCTTTGGGTACACATAATAACGCTTTGGGTACACATAATAACGCTTTGGGTACACATAATAACGCTTTGGGTACACATAATAACGCTTTGGGTACACATAATCACGCTTTGGGTACACATAATAACGCTTTGGGTACACATAATAACGCTTTGGGTACACATAATAACGCTTTGGGTACACATAATAACGCTTTGGGTACACATAATCACGCTTTGGGTAACACATAATCACGTTTGGGTACACATAATCACGCTAAACATAATAACGCTTTGGGTACACATAACCACGCTTTGGGTACACATAATCACGCTTTGGGTACACATAATAACGCTTTGGGTACACATAATAACGCTTTGGGTACACATAATAACGCTTTGGGTACACATAATAACGCTTTGGGTACACATAATAACGCTTTGGGTACACATAATTACGCTTTGGGTACACATAATAACGCTTTGGGTACACATAATCACGCTTTGGGTACACATAATAACGCTTTGGGTACACATAATAACGCTTTGGGTACACATTATAACGCTTTGACACATAATAACGCTTTGGGTACACATTAACGCTTTGGGTACACATAATAACGCTTTGGGTACACATAATCACGCTTTGGGTACACATAATAACGCTTTGGGTACACATAATCACGCTTTGGGTACACATAATAACGCTTTGGGTACACATAATAACGCTTTGGGTACACATAATCACGCTTTGGGTACACATAATAACGCTTTGGGTACACATAATAACGCTTTGGGTACACATAATAACGCTTTGGGTACACATAATCACGCTTTGGGTACACATAATAACGCTTTGGGTACACATAATAACGCTTTGGGTACACATAATAACACTTTGGGTACACATAATAACGCTTTGGGTACACATAATCACGCTTTGGGTACACATAATAACGCTTTGGGTACACATAATCACGCTTTGGGTACACATAATAACGCTTTGGGTACACATAATAACGCTTTGGGTACACATAATCGATTGACAATCAAAAGTAAATGAAAGGGTTCGTTGTTTGTATTACCTATTTTGAAAAGGCTTTCGTTAAATTCGGGCTTTTTGGGAAACAACCTCGAGTCAGCAAAGAGAGAGAGACACTATTAATTCAAATATTTTTACTAGATTTACCATGACATACTTCTGCTTGCGCCTGTCTGTTGTTATTGTTGACATTTTAAATATTGCTTTGTTGCGAATAACGTTCATCCGATTTTTCTAGGTGGATTTTCCATAGGATTTATAGCTTATCCAAAGGCTCTGAGTTATTTCCCCTTACCACAACTTTGGTGTGGAATCTTCTATCTGATCATTCTGCTTCCGGGACTGGATGCCATGGTGACTGTTTTGAATATATCGTTCTCATTGATGACTCATATCATCGATGGTAGTTTTTTTTATTTTAAGCTAAACGACATATGATGATCGGATATTTCAAACGAATATCTCATAACGGAAATAATAAAATGTTGACTCATGACAATAATTAAGCTAAATATCTTTAATTGCAGAGAGTTTAGGTTTTTGAACGACAAAACACTCTTAACTATATATAAGTGTACATATTTTTCAGGCGATACTTACAGAACCTTTTCTGATGATCTGTGAAGAATTGTTCCCAAAGTTTTTAAACAACAGAAGGATTCCTCTACTGACTGTTGTCAGTGTTGTAATGTTTTTACTTGGTCTACCACACGCTACACAGGTACTGTTTACTGTATGCCGGAATTCCTTACATAGCTTTAAAGCGGTGTGGAATTCTTACCTTAACTATGTTTTATAGTCTTGCTAGTACCTATATGATCGGTTTACAGGACAGAGCTTTCCTGGACCAAAAACTAAAATACCATTTTGTCAACAGAATTTTTAAGGCAAATGCTATCAAACATAAACCATTACATACCGCAAAGAAATATAAAATTTCCCAATGAGATTACGAGGACGACTATAAAATTTATCCACGACATTCATCCACTTGTATCTCTCAAAACCGACCAGCTGTCAACATCTCGCACGAAAATGTAATATTTTGAGAAGCATAAATATGTTGTTTTGAAACGGAGAATTCACAATTAGGAGAAAAGATTTTTTCCATACTTATTTCTTATTCTATGTGTTTGAAGGTGCTGGTTTATATATTATGAAATCTTTGCAACAGTTTAAATCTGTTTCTCAGGTTCTACGTTGTGATATTTTTACAGCACGACAATATTTATTGCACTGTGTTGAAATATGTAACATATAAAGCAGAACATATACGTCTTCTATCATATGCTTAACGCATGCAAGTTATCAAAGGCGATATGTGGTGGCTATATCATAACAAGGCTGGAGTTCGTGTTGGATGTTCGTTTGTCATCCCTTACAATGCAAATTTAATGAAAAACAATATTTGATCGAGCTCTATGCAAATGTGAAAAAATAAGTGTGCAAATTAATTCTGAAAAAAGAACTATTAATATATTCCATTTGTACCACTTATCTTCCGGCAGGCAGGAGTCTACATATTTCTTCTAATTGACTGGTACACTGGAACCTGGAGCGTGATGTTGATATGTATTGCCGAGTGTGTCGTGTTTGCTTGGGTTTATGGTAATTATACTTAAGTTTTCTTTTTTTTTTCTTTAGAATTTTAATCTTTTTCTCTTTCGTATCAGCTTTAACTTGCACGATCATACCTATATATACATACATTGTTATACAAATATCTCTGTTTTAATGATGAATCGTTCATGGCGAGGTGAGGGTTGTGGGAAGGGGGAGGTAGGAGAGACAGGCGTGTGGGGGTAAAATGACTGGGGTGTGGGTTCTGTAAGATGCAGCGAAACCTTGGGCGGAAGAGTGAAAACACCTCGCATATTGACATTTCATTTTTAATTTCCCCCTCTCCTCTATACAACATGTAGTCACTTATCATCAATAAAGAAGGGGGAAGGACACAATGAATTCTAAAACAATGGTTATATAACGGTTTTTATTAGATTATTTCAATGGTCTTATCCCTAATATACTCCTGAATTACCAAGACGCTGCAATGCAAATCATTTTAACTCTAGCCAAACCGTGGCTGCCGTCTTTGCTGTTGAGGCAGATGATTGATCTTAACAGTAGAGAAAGTTAATGCCATAGTGTTGGAAAATACGACAAGTAACTGTTAGGTAATGTTTGCAATTCAGATATCAATTTCTGTTGTAATATCACGACTATTATTCTACTACATTTATTGGTTAATCATTTCCAGAATAATATATGAATCTCCATTCGAAAGAGGAGTGTCTTGTCTTTTTAAGCAGCTCCTCAACAACCGTTGTTTTATCTATCTACATCAGTAAAGCTTTGCCATTCAGAAATAGACTTCACCAATTTTCAGTAACGAAATCTATATAAACACAAATTTAGATAGTTGTGCCACCCGGAGAAAACATTTCACATCTGTCCATATGCCAAGGCCTACATCCCAACAGAACAAAAAGGGTTTTTATATCAAAATTTGTGTCCAAAAAGAGAATACAAACAGTGTGTATGTATTGATAGAAAAGATATAACAGAACTCATATTTAGGAAAATTTTAACAAAAGCTTAAACTGTACTTGGATGATGACGCATTCTTACTGGCAGCGACAGTCGGAAGCTATCCTTTCTAACTGGCATATGGACAAATATGAACGTATCACAAAGGTCAATCTGTTACTAGATAGATGTAGTTGTTCACTTTACAGGAATATCCAAAACGTAGATAAATTTGAAAGATAAACCGATATTTCTTAACTTTTGCCGGTATGATTAAAAACCAACAAAATTGAGTTTAAGAATCTTTCTTGGTCACGTTTTACATGTGCCTTTTCGATGTAATTGTTTGTGACATGTGTACGTTTTTGTTTCAATAAAGAGATAAAATCAGTTCATATTTAAGTAGAGTGTAACAAAAGCTTTCTTGGTGGCGCATTCTCACTGGCAGCTATTGTAGAAAGTAGTCCTGATAGTCCTGTATGTATTCGTACACGGACCTTTTCACGTATTTTACAGTGTTATTACCGATATCAATCCGCCGGGAGATAAAAAACACACAATCGTATTCAGGTTTCGTACTTGTCTAAAATCAGAAGAAAATTAATTCCGACAGGATATGCACACAGATATGTTAGCTGTTTATTACATATTTCTTCATGCTACAGGTACACACAGGATCGATCGTGATGTCCGACTGATGCTCAAAAGGCCACTTCCAACCATTGTTCGAATCAGCACTGCATTTATTATGCCTTTTTTTCTCACGGTATGTTCAGTAGCTGGTGATATTGTGCTGTTAATTTAGTGTTTTTCATACCTTACATCTGTCCTTGGAAACCTTAGTCACCCCCACTCATCTTGCTCATTCGTTCGACCTCATTTCGTTGTGAGAGAAACTCATGCAGTTATATGGTTTATAGCTGTACATAACCAAGTGACGGGGTAGAAACATTTTAAAGAAACCACGTGACTTATGAAGCAAGGACCATTTAAAGCGAAGGAAATATCTTTTTATATTTTGGGGTCTAGCTTTTTCCACCCAAGCGAACTTTGTTTTTGAAGTTATACGAAAAGCACAATGAAGTTGCTTTGGTGTCCCCCTGTCGTCCGCAAATTTTGTCCTGGCATTACTTTCAGAACCTACGGCAGCTTGGTTTACAATAGATATGTAGTGTACTACACAACTCATCGGCCATGTAATCAGTTGTTAACCTTGGTCAGACGATAAATCCCTATTACAATGTATTTGTCATATTTGGTTTATGCAATAAAAGCATATGTATAATGATTAGGATATGGCATTTTTAATTTATGAAAAATTACCATGGTACCATTTTAAAAAGAAACAATGAGAAATTGCCTCTTATTAGGCATGCTAAACAAATATTGTACAGATCGTATGCATCAGCAAATAGGGCTGACAGTTCCCGTTGTTCCTAGAGTAATTATAATGACCAATCAGGACGATCGGTGGTCATGAACGTTGCTACCTTGACTATATATGTGAATAAGAACTGTGATTCAGTATATTGATGTTATACAGTCGTAAATTATAGACGATGGCTAATCAAATGAACTATAGCCGGCATGACAAAATGACATATTTGTATGATGTTCATCTGTATAACTTCACACGTTGTGTTCTTCGGAGTTGGATTCGATACGATTAAAACGAAGTCTAAAACCTTAACCTATTTCGTAGCATTGCTTTAATGTTATTGCGATCTTGGGGAACATTTTATATACTCTACCAATGTTTTCTACAGTGTCTCCTGGTTATCAGCGTCTTTACCTACAAGCCGCCATCCTTTGGAGAGTATAACTACCCTGTGTATGCCCAAACATTAGGCTGGTGTTTTACTTTTTCGTCCGTACTACCAGCTATTTGCTACTGTGTGTGGGTCACTACCAAAGCAGAAGGAACATTAGGGGAGGTATGTATTGTGTCACATTCAATGTCAGATACACCATTAATGTTGTCTATATGGGAAAATGTTAAGTAGATATTTTAACGTACAGATTATCCATTTATTGTTTTATTTGTTTATTTTTGGAATTAAAAGCTTTTTTGAAATGTCATTTCAACCTGGAAAATACATATTGGGTCAATGCAAGCAATAATACTTATCCTTTCATTGTAGCGTATCAAGCATCTTGCAAGGCGTTCGTCAAAGTGGATACCAGCCGATGAGAAGGCCGGGGATATATATCGGGATTCGGAGCGCTCTGCGGAATATACCTGGAAACAACTGTTTTGGTTTAATCTAACTGGACGAGGGGGCATTGTTATAAAGGAATGTACGGACTCTGTACCAATGTTATAAATTATCAATGAGGACTATGTAACAGTTTCATATTTATATTCCAAATAACAACACTTTAATCAATAATCTGTATAGGTATTGTGGTAATTAAAAAGCAACGTAAATTCATGTACATTTGAAGTTTAAAGTTCAACTGAGTGATAAATTAAATAAATTACATCGTGAATTCTAACGATGTTTCTAACTAAAATTATTTTATTCGTAGGCTAAGTTGAAACTGCTGTCATTCATAATAACAAAATAACTTCTTTTTATATAGATATTAATCTAAGAGCAAATTGTCTTTAATACACGTAGTTTACCTCAAATGTAGATATTCAATGTTTTATCTAGAATATTAGGTGAAGATGTTTATTTTGGAAGTTTTACAATTCATGATTTATTTCAAAGTAATATTTTGATATTCTGCTTGATTTTTCAGCTTTTTGACTTCGGTCATAAACATTTTCAAAAATATCTTTATGTTCAGTAAGGTTTTCCTGAAACACTTACATCTATGACTTAAAATTGTTATAATTGTGTCCAGATTAACAGTTAATGAAATAGATCTAAAAGTTTATCAAAATGATATAAATATTTAAAGACACACCATATTAGTACAATGTCATATTTTTTCATTTTTGATTAATTTTAAGTTGGTTTATTTTGATGATTTCAGATTGATATCACAAGCATGAAAATAAGTAAATACTGAGATTGTTTTCACTTTATTATATTATTTTGAAGTTGTGTGTACAAAGCCTACAGAACTTTGCAAAAGGTGCTGAATTTAATTAATCTGAGACTTTCAGATAAGTTCCCCTTCACATTTTAATATGGGTATCGGTTCTTTGAAAGCAGAGATCGGGCAAAGAGGGCGTTATGATCGCGCTTACTTCTTACGTCTATACAAACATTCCCTGTCACTAACCATATTGGAATATTGAAAATCGTTTGGAACAGCAAATCATTGCAATGGTACTTGATAAGACGATACATGTCATGCCACATACATGACCGTGTTTTGTTTGACATACACGTCTGCAAACTAAATTTCAGAAGTCTAAAAGAAATATGTTTTGAGACATTTCGTTCCATATTTTGATAGCTTGTTACATGTTTACTTAACAGGGCTCTCACTGATCCAATTTGATAGTACTCAGTATGATCTTGTAAAGTTCCAGTTTTTATATTAACCTTGTGATATATTCTAAGAATCACCCAGACATGACATATTGTCTACACCTGGTGGTATTTGTCAGTTTAAATATTGCTATGAAGAGTGAAGGTTTGTTCTTCCATCGTTTAAACGACTTTGTTTTATAATTTGTCATTTATCTCAGTAGCAATTCTTGTTTTCAAACTGCTCTAGAGTGCACTTTAATCATTGATATCTGTTTGAAGTTGTTAAGCCAAAATAGTAGCTTGTCTAGGCTTTCTTCTACAGTTTTCATAAAAGTGATGTTGTTTTTTAAAAGCGCCTTAAATATAGACTTGATTTTAATACAAAGTGTTTTGTTCTGGTTTTATCTTTCAGTGATTTGCTAACTTTTAGCACATTTGATTCAGAAGTTGTTAATAATTTCCATTATACGCGTGACTTTGTTTTATATACATTGAATAATGCTTTAAATATCACGGGTCATATCGTATGTTTTGCAGATTCTCTCTTATTTTTTTGGATGCACTGAGATGCAATATCAACTTGGATTTTGGCGAAGTTAAAAATTTCCATGCGACACTTTTGTGATTTTATGTAAATACATGAAGTCCTAAACGCTTAATCTTTCGTAACCTTTGGTCTTATTTTCCATGTATATTTGCAGGGGTCTGCCTGTAAATCTTTCTTTGGCTCATATTAGTACCTAGTTTTATTAGATTTGAGTTTAGATGATGTTGGCATGTTGGCATTTGGTCTTTTCTTGTTGCATTTTTGTATATCAAGCTGTAATAGATCATGTGATGATGTAGAATGCTTGTGAATGAAGCGTTTCAAGTGTTCACTAAGCAGAAATGACTAGACCAAAGAAAAGTTTTTGTAGTCACTGCTATGTTTATAAAAATGTGTTTCTTGCTTAGAAATTTATCTGACATTCTGCCATCTTGGTCGTCCGCTTGCCTAAACGGGTGAGTTCCGTGGTCTTTTTGGGCCCTTGTTTCTGTATCGCAAACCTTGCTTGCTGAACCGTTGTTCATCATTATGTTGAACGCAGGGAGTAACTCTCACGTGTAGGATAGGGAAGCAAGAACGTCACAAGAAAAAGGAAAATTAGTGATAGAGAAATTGCAGTCATTACACTTATCACACGGCGGACAGCTGTCTCTGTTGTTTCTTTGAAGGTAAACTCGAGGCAAGCAGCTGATGTAGAAGAGTATTTAGCTTCAATGATTTCAAATTTCAGGGTTATAAACGATGGACAATTTATTTCCTATTATTTTAAGACAAAACGCCAAATGCTATCCCAGTCTTTGTTCCCAGTTTTGATAAGATTTTCTTTAACTTCAGCCTCGTATGAAAAACCCAATTTTATCCAAGAGAGAAGCAGTTTGGTTACATAAGCTTGTCTATATCTAAGCAATGAACTCTTACCAAGTGGTAATATACAGCTAATATGAATACAATTTGAGTAACAGATTCATATTCATGTCGCCCTAAATTCGCGCATTGTTATTAATTCATGAAACGTGACACGGCTCCAAAGAAACGCTTGGATGAAATGACCGCTTGGATGGCTAGACATGACAGTATGTACGAAAAAATCATGATATTTACCTATCCGTCATCTATTTTGAAAAAAATGGAAATCATATACCCATGAAATGTTGCATTGGCAAAGAATACGGGGCTGATGTCTTAGATGTGATCTAATAGCCATGATTATTTCGAACACGTGGTTGATCATGAGTGTTAATTTGACCGGCAGTGGCGTGGTCTACACACCATTTATCGGTAGTTTCCTCGTTGGGGAGTGAACTAGTGGGCAATGCTATACTTAAAGTTTTTTTCTGACAAAAAGAAACATTTCTAGTGTAGGATCTTAATGAAGATTATTTTTTGAGAGGACATAAAAATCATACGTCGTGCCTCGTGACCCTGATCATTGCAAAGTTATATAGTTGTTGCCCAAAGGCAGTAATGCGCGTACTTTTTGTCTACATCGGCTGTTTTACATTTAAGCATTGAACTGTTACCAAATGGTAGTATACAGTCGATATGCATTCACTTTTGAATCTAAAATGAAATTGAATAGTATGTATGCAAGATCTGTTTATCTATTGTTACTGGCGGAGAGAGAAAGCAGTTTCGAAGACGTTCAGCGTCTCTTGGGGGTGTTTACAACTGAAGGCGTAGAAAGTAATGTAATCTCGATCTTCTATAAGTTTCATGAATTTATCTCGAATTTAGTGTATATTTAAGACGTGACGGATAAGTGCTATTCAGCTCATATGTGTCATGAACAGAAATTTTCTAATATACAATATGATAAAAAAAAGATCATATCTATGCAACATCAAATATCCTATCACTTCATCGTTCCAGAATACGCATTGATTTCTAAACACGCTTTTTCACAAGAAAGAAATCGCATGGAGGTGTTTGTGTTAGTAGGGTGTAAACGGAGGAGTGTGTGAATGTTGCTGAGGGTTTTTGTGTGTTAGTTTATTTATCTATCAATGTACATCGAAAGTTTGTGAAATGAAAACGCGGAAGATTAAGAACGCTGAAATGACTTTATAAACGTAGCGTGCTATCAACCGACCACGCTAGCACCCCCACAAGGTGCAACAACATTCACTGGCCAATTACAGAGCTGCATTGCTTCGTCATATACCAAACCTGAAAATTTGAGAATTCATACAAAAACATGCTTTTACATGTCAATCAACTAGATCATCTAGATGATGTTTTCTCGGGAACATAACAGTTGTATATCGGTTAGGTTGGAATGTTCAACGAAGACATGAATTAGACACTAATGTTTTTCTATTAAAAACATAAGCGTTATTGTTCCCTAGAGTACAGACATTTGTAGGAAGATACATGTATTTGAGCTTTATTGAATCTAATTCTGGTATGAAATATCGCACAATATCCATACTATGACGTCATACTCATCTGATGATTAACATACCTGGGTTACAGAAGTTATGACCAAGGAAATACCCATTTGCACAGGTATAGTAGGATTTACAATGTGTCTCAAGGTCGGCATAACGCTTGTCAGCCATACCACTGCAGTCTCGTTGAATGCTACATGGTATGTGGATATTACTGTAGGAAACCAAAAACAGTATTAATTATTTATTCAGTATTAGGAAGTTATATTTTTAATAGGTTGTTTTTTGTAACATATTTCATAACAAAATAATGTCGGCATCACTTGTGACATGAATGAAAGATTAAAAATTAATATGTTTGATTTTATCTTCTCAAATATATGAAGAATTGTAAGAATAGACTACTATTATCAGGCTTTGACATTAACATAAATATATACAGCTATATTGTATGCAGACGCTATCGCCTGAACTCTCAAACGGAGTTAGATAATAAACATTGAGGTCATAATCAACATGTCTTTTATTCGAAAGTTGAAGTTTCAAGTTTCATGTCCTAATTTTTTCTACATTCAATTGCAATTAAATACTTAACCATTCAGTCGCCCAACGTCATTTATAAGATAAAAAGGCCAACTTTTCGGCAATGACTCACAAATATATATATATATATATATATATATATATAAGAGATCCTGAATGTTCAGGAAACCTAGATTCGAGATTGTGCACAGGAGAATATTGCGGGATTCCAAGTCTGTCAAAAATGCTGCAGCAATTTTGACCGAGAACGATGTCCTTAAGTTTTAAACACAAAGACTTTACACGAATAGTTTGCCGACAACACATGGTTTATATCTATGTATCATAGTGGCAACAGTTGTAATTCTTGAGAAGGGAAAATGGAATATATATATCTATCATTTCTTTTATATTCTATGGGCCGTAGATCTGAATCGTCACATACATTATCTTTAACTAAAAATATCAACAACAAATTTAATCGTTCCAATGAGTGCTTGATGAACGAGATAAGACTGACTAAGGCATGACTTCGCTAATTAAAAAAAAAAACAAATAGTTGAACCAATGGTTTGGAATTCGTGCCAAGTGCCTGTGTTTTTAATATGAGATATACTGACTCATTAAACATGCTTGGTTATGTTTGTCTTTAATGGATATGCATATTGATGCATAGAAGAAAGAAAGTTGATGTTTTTTCATTTCTTTGGCAGTCGCCATACTTGAGCAAAGTTAATTGAAGAGATCTTCACACCTACGCCGTGGTAACTTACGTGTCACATCTTTCATTGGCTGGATTGTAGAACTGTGAGCTCGGACAGGTAATATGAGTGCCCAGCCCGTTGTGACAACGGGTGTAGTCGTGACAGGTTATTTCGTAGTTCCCGTCTGCTTTACCGTAGCAGTTCACGACACCCTCGACTGTAAAACATGGTATATGGGCAATGTATGAAACGAAAGGATATTAATAACATACATTCAATACATGAAAAAACGATGGTTTTAACCATAGAACCCAGGCATAGTTGGTTACATCTCTATCAAGACTTCATGAAGAGGAGAGCTACTTACTTAAAGGAATCGAGGCATTCGATTCAAAAAGGCAAAAAGATATTGACACAAATGTCAAAGTATTTCTGGAAAACATATTGGATTTGCGGCGATAAGCTATTTTGAGTCATGAAAAGATGATTTACACGCCTGTTAACATTAGATTATTTGGCATTATTAAAATTACGATACTATATATTTCATCCAATGGTAAGAAATATCAAGGTACAGTTCACATTCATTATTCACGTTCATCCGAACGTGATGTTGTGAACATTGTTACGCTAAAAAATCTGAATAAAAAGTGACCCCAGAAAAAGATAACCATGATAATTATTTTATTAGTGAAATTCTATTCTGACATATTCGTAATGATCATCAAACAATTGATACTCACCGATTCCGAGTGGCAGGAATATCAGAATACACAGCGACAACATGATGGCTGTTGAGAAACACCGAACCAGTTATGCACCAAAACGTAATCGGTCCCGGATATAGACGCAGATAACCTTAGATACCTTCTTTAACAGTACTCAACAGCTGTCACGCAGTTATCGTATGTCTTTTGGACAAACGGTAATCGCATGTAAAAGGTATTAAAATGTGTGCAGGTAACAGAAAAGTTCCAATGCTTAAGTAAATGGTGCTTCAACCCTATGCTTTAAGGTATAGTGCATGTTGATGTTATTCATTAGTCACTTTGAAGTTATCTTTTCTCTGAAACTTACACAGTTAGGAGACACTGACCACACTAATAATTCAAAACGGCTCATTAGCCTGTGATTTCAGTTACCAGAATTTTCTTCGGGAGAAAAGGAAAGAATTTTAAGGAATCATCATGATCAAACAGGAAAACTTAATTTCTATGTCAGAGCTATTCTACATGGTATGGCGTGCATAAGGAAATGATGTGTTGCCATGTCAGTAGTAAAATATCACCATAATTTTATTAGAAGTAAAAAAAATAAGTGTGTGAAGTAAGATTTAAGAGGCTTTGGTATGTTTCCTTGGTTGCTTCAGTAAGTATTGTGGTATAACAGAAATCATTATTGAGATTTACAATTGATGTGTATTTATTTCAAGGTTGAAATTATTCTTTCGTGGTATTTCTGATGCTATTTTGTCAATGGAGTCGCTTTTCTCACCAATGCAGTGCGACAATATTCTCTCATCATGAAATCCAGCTGACCTGCACCATGAAACTGAGTGTTTGTTGAATAACTCCATCGTTTAGTCTTCCAAGGAAGTTTACGCTAATAGTGTAAACAGTTTTATGACATTTTGGAAGCAGTATAGCCTGGGGATTACTTGCCCTCAGCCGTTGTTACATATCGCAACTTCATTCCTCACTTGTCTTAAGCTGTATATACCCGTTAGAACTTGAAATCAAAGATACGGCAAACTCTTCTACAGCAACTGCTTATCTCAATCTTTTCCTACAATGAAACCAACATCGATAACTTTCCGTCAAGCTGTTTGATAAATGTGATGTATCAATTTCACTATTCTGAATTTTCCATTTGTGGATAGCAATATCCCTGCATCTCCAACCTATGGTATTTACACGTCACAGTTGATTCGATATTCAAGGGCCTGTTCCCAGTTTCACGATTTTCGCAATAGTGATCTCATTGAGAAATATTCTATTTCTTTTTGTGACTTGAAGCTGGTCGTATTTGATGCTCGTTAGTTTTCCTGTTACTTCCGTTGTTGTATATTTTGTTCTTATTTGCGAACGTGATATTACTTACTTGGATCGACCAAGGGTTACATGGCGCGTGTCGTCGATGAAAGAGAAGACGCTTACTCTTCCGAAATACCTGGTCTAATTCTCCTTGTACTTTTTCAGGAGTCTCCGTGTAAATCTTTTTTCCATATTTTGTTTGGGTTTATTGAATGTGAGTTTGGATTATGATTGTGTCGACATGTTGCTATTATCTGTCTTTCTTATTTTTCTCACTCAAACCAGAAATTGTCTGAGATGATGGATAAATCTGTAAAGGTATGGCGGAAAGGGAACATACTTGTTTATGAATGTTAGCTTTGTGGATAAGGTAAATAAGAGGGTATGTGTATGAGAATGAGTAAGGGTATGGATGAGGTATGATAAACATTATATGAATGTGAATGGTGGTTGTTGAGAGTCTTTGTGTGTGCATTTTGTTATATGACGGTGTTTGAGGGTGTGTTTTATATGTGTATCATCATTTCATATTGCAAAGTTCTGGAAGGAAACAAAGGACACTGAAGACTAATTATGTTGTAGTGACTTTATATAGAAATAGTGTCATCAGTCGAGTTATCTAGTACTCGTACCACAAGGCGGAGATACATTGTGAGGCCAATTACATAGCTGTTTTATCTGGTCATATACCAAACCTGAAACAAGACAAGTAGCAATGACTGTCTATACATATCTACCAAATCGTCTCCATTATTCCTAAAATCAAGACAGGAAAATAAATGTTGTTTGATTGAGCATGTGTGCTATTCCATGATACATCAATACATTATCACGAAAAAACCCGAGGATTTCGAACAACAGTGATTGATCCATGTTGTGAAGTTTTCTCCTTATTTCAGCGATAATATATATATAATTTATTACAAGTGATGGCACAATTTGAATTAAAGTCTTACACTTATAAAGTTTGTGAATAAATGGAAAGTGATCAGGATTTGCTGTGTAATAAATCTAATAAATCTACAACACATTTTAAAACCACAGTAAAAGTTAAAACCGGAAAACGATATGTAAATCCAGAGTTATCTCCACTTGCCATTTTTATAAGCATAAACGACTATGCGTATTGGTATCTGTATACAAGCATGCAATTAACAAGGTTGAGACATTCGACGTAGACGTGACATGACTCTGTTGGTTTTTATATTTAAAATGACATCTTTTGTTTACCACAATACTACTAACACCTACATGCCTGATTAAATAGATTGAATCTTTGTTTGAATTTAATCCTGGTATTACACATTATCAATACTTTAACTAACATTATACACATCTGATGATTAACTTACCTGGGTTACAGAAGTTGTGGCCGAAAAAAATTCCATTTGAACAAGTATAATATGACGTACAATTTGTTTCCATGTCGGGAAAGCGACCGTTAGGAGTACCACTGCAGTCCCGGTCTATGTTGCAGGGTGGATATATAGGACTTGATGGAAAACAAAAATGTCATCAATAAAAAAGTCATTCGTTTTAAAAGAAATATAAATTCAATGGTACAATAACACATAGGTAACACCGACTCCGGCATTTGTCACCATGTACACTTGATTACGTTAATGTAGAAAACTCTTGGGAAACACTCTAACATGATCGGGAAGATAGAGTCACGTAAAGATCCCCCCTTCAATGCGACCATGTACTATAGTTAAGGTAATTTCACCCAGTAATACGCCAAGCTTCACATTTTCGTCACATTGCGGCAAATCAGTCTAACTGTCAAGAGGACTGACGATGTTTTAAGGGTAAAAATCTGATAGATTTCCACTTATTGTACAGTTGTTTCTATAAATGACCTTACATGAGTCTCGATAGACGTTATTTAAGATAGTTCGATTTGCCAGGATTGATTATCATATTATTAAAAGAGTTTGATAAACCAAACATGACATCGAGACGAGTATGAGATTCGTAAACATGAAAAAGACATGATTTATTTATGACGTCACAATGGTGTTAAACCAAATGTGACATGATCGTATGACATGAAACAGCAGGCCTGTGATATGATAAATCTCTATCTTAGATATGTGAGACATGAAACAGCAGGCCTGTGATCTGATAAATCTCTATCTTAGATGTGTGAGACATGAAACAGTAGGCCTGTGATATGATAAATCTCTATCTTAGATATGTGAGACATGAAACAGCAGGCCTGTGATCTGATGAGTCTTTATTTAAGATATGTCAGACATGAAACAGCAGGCCTGTGATATGATAAATCTCTATCTTAGATGTGTGAGACATGAAACAGTAGGCCTGTGATATGATAAATCTCTATCTTAGATATGTGAGACATGAAACAGCAGGCCTGTGATATGATAAATCTCTATCTTAGATATGTGAGACATGAAACAGCAGGCCTGTGATCTGATAAGTCTTTATCTAAAATTGTTTTGCGATCAGGAGATTATTAACCTTGAGTACAACTACAATCTTTTGTGTTCATACATGATTTCACGTCAGGGTATAGAAAAGGATATGTTTATCGAGAGTGAAACCATGGATTTTTTTCTGATGTAACATACTGAATAATTTTTTTTCATTTTCAGACTCATATGTCACTTATTTATGACAAAATCTTTGCATGTTGTTTGATTTTAACTGTATAGATAATGGGTTTTTGATACTCAATGGACAGTCATGAGTCATGAATTGATTGTCAGAGTGATCACATTGGTCTTACCTAGATATTTTATTACATACATGTATATCATATCATGATTGCACCTAGTTGAATATGTATATTAATGAATTTTGGACATTGTGATCTGAAACCCAATCATATATTTACTATATTAACATTTTTTCCCATTTGTATTTATTTTTTTTAGATCTTTACTTCTTAAGCTCAAAAATCAACAAAGAAACAACATGTCAACATAGTCAAAATCCAAATTCAAAATCAATAAAACTACGATACTATGTGAACAAAAGAAGATTCTATACGGATACTCCTGAAAAGGTACAAAGAGGACAAGAACTGGCGTTTCGGAAGAGTCAGCGTCTTCTGCTTCATCGACGACACCCGCCGTGTAAACCTTGTTGAATCCATAGAATAAAATAATTGCGATATAGTCATGATGCAACAGTGATCAATCATAGGATCGGCGTCATCTTTTACCGCGGGAATGACCAGTCGTAGTCACGCGCGAATGACCAGTCGTAGTCATGGGTTACCAACACAACAGAGGCAGTAAACAAGGTAATTCCTCTGATAAAGGAAAATGCACCGTCTATATCTTCGTATAATCAAGCAATTTTGATGAAAATATCGCAATGTGCCATACCATATATATTTTATAGTCGTATAAGTTATTTAGTTCGCTATAGTTAGAGCCTCGAGGTGGCGTACAATACTTATATATATATATACAAAATCAATACACAAGGATAAGCCAAATTTACGAGATTATACATAATGTTAACTTACTCGTCACATTGATTGCTGGTGGGATTGTACAGCTTCCCATCATAACAGTCAACGTCAGTAGCCACACCGTCGTGACAATTGGTGTATCCGAGACATGTCACTTCGTAGTTCCCGTCTGCTTGACCGTCGCAGTTCACGACTCCTTCAACTGTAAACAGTGTTACAAGGAAGATAAGTAGATACTATCATAATGTACTGCAGAAATACACCCCCATTGTCATCATGTGCACACTCAGTATTCGAAGTGAAAAATCAAGAATTTTCATACTGGTGATATTAATTTCTAATTTTGAAAGGTGGACGCATTTCAAACGAAACATGAATGCTGATACTAGTGGAAATGAATGAAGATATTTCAAAATTTTAACAGTAAGGTAATTTTACATGTTGTTTTGGCATTAAAAAAAGAATTGAAATAATTTATGATGAAGTCAATATAACTATGCGAATAGAAATAAAGTATTGTACATTTATCTTACAGAGACAGAAGGTTTAATGTTAGGTTATTTGATCTACTGTGGAAAAGAACAATATTTGCTTTTCATTAGATGATTTTGAAATAGTCATTGAAATTATTAAACGCCATCTGCTCTACACCCAATAGATTGTGGATTAGAGATCTTTACATCCTGACATTTGGGTGTCTACAAAAATATTTCCAATAGATTCTTAAAGAACCTATCATCTCTATGTTGGCCCTAATATATTGCTTATATCACTACTAAAGCCAGCCAATTAAGATGATATTGGAAGTAAGACACGTGTCTCCATAACAATAAAAATTCCATAACGTTTCTGAAACCCCCCGACATCAAATTCACCTGTTAAGTTTTTTATCGTATAAAGAAATGGTTTGTATCGATGTTTAAAATGATAATTACATCATGACGATATTTAAGGATATGGACGTTGAAGTAATTTAGCTGTATGGCGATAGATTAAAGAGTAGCTGCTTTACACGTCATTCAATTTTATGCCAGGGCGCCATTGTGACCCATGAGCTGATCGAAATAGACGAAGGAATGTGAGAATGTGCCAATTACTCATTTAGTGATGTTCTAATATATTCTTAATGATCATTCAATTGAAACTTACCAATTTGCAGTGATAGGAATATCAGAATACACAGTGACAACATGATGGCTGTTGAGGAACACCGAACCTGTTATGCACCAAAACGTAATCAGTCCCTAACATAGGCGGAAACCTTGTACCTACATTCTTTGACACTCAACGACTGTCACGCACTTCTCGCGTGTTTTTCGAACTCAGTACAGTTATACGATGCCAGATATCTAAAAATGACTTGTGAATTATTGAGACATCAATTACTTCAGAAATGTAACACAAATCTAGATAAACACTAGCCAGTTGTATAATGAAATCATGTTGTTTTGAAGTGTATTGTAGGAAATGATTAGTTTGAATTTGAAATGTCATTAATTTGAGGATATTAAACACATTTAAATGAAGTATAATGTATTGTAAAATCTCTCCACATTTTGAAAGGATTTTTTCCTTCAGTGCGCACTTCAAAAAATAAAACAATAATCGTTGTTCCTTGGACGTTGTACGCATTCGTGGAACAGCACAACTAAAAAAACAAAACAAAAACAAAAACAAAAAATTGATTACAATTTCGCGAAAAAAGATTGCCAACTAAATGAAGTAAACAGAAAAACATTAAAGAATAACGTCATCTTTTTATTACATTTTTGTGAGTAATTTTAAATACTTCCATTTCCATATATATCATATACAGATGGTTTTGAGTTTTCCAGTGAATACGAAACAATTCTTAAAATTAAAAAAGTTAAAACAAACGCATAGAGGTAAATCGGAAAAGTAAATATTTGTTGATATTTTCCTCTAGTTTCATCGAATTTGAGTTAAAGTTCTGTTAGGATACTAGTATTTATTTTGTTGTTTATGTACACGTAACCGGTACTCGACTTCCAAAAAAGTATCCACAAGGTTACATTATAGAAATGGAATCTAATATGATGTAATAAACAATTGATAGAGGCACACGTGACAAAGGAAGTATTTACGACAACGAAGTGCTGCGTCAAAAACTACACCAAGACGATATCCGACAAAAATTATATAAATACCAAGATAAAACCAGCGAAAGTATGCATTTACATAATGGATGGTAATTAATAAATAACATACAATATCATTGCAATAATTACTCAACATCCTAAGCCTTCGTTCCGATATTATTTAAAGTATACTTAAAACTATTTGTTAAGATATTTTACAATAAAATATCCGCTATGTGTTCGATTTAGGATTTGTTAAGATATGATTAAAACGGATTCTCAACAGTAATCAGATATTATTAAAGCAAAACTCTCCACTCGATACAAATGTAAGAAACAAGCAAGGGTTACTTCAAACCTCGTCACTAGATATTAATGTTTTAGTTGCCATAAGTACATAGCTTGACCTAATCTTGGGAATAGAACATATGTCAGCCACAAACCAGGAACATGACCGAATTATATATAAGGTTGTTTCATACCTGTTCTTCTATTAGTCCTTTATCTCTGAGAGTAAGGACACGTTTGTCTCAGATTCTTTATTGTTTATTACCTCCAGTATAAACTCACTGTTAACCAGAAATTGTTGCTAAGAATTTTGCGGGCTTTTCACTTCTTTGGCGACAATCTACCGAAAAACAAAACAGTAAATTCATCGGAAGGATGTTCTGCATCGATCTGAAGAGGAAAATTTCAAGAAATTTCAAAATTGAAAAAAAGAAAAAAATTGTTAAATTTCGAAAACTTTACCCAACAGCGAGCTTTTTTATTTCGACATATTTTCTGATAATATGTCTGACAAAAATTTAGATAAGGAAATTCTCTACAAATAATAGTATTGCACAAGCTCTGTACAATCAATGGTTTTCGAGATATTGCCGTTTTTAACTTTTTAACTTATGACGTCATGGCGGCCATATTGGATTTTTGACCTAGTTGAAAAATCGGCATCGACAACTTCATATACGTATCTACAAACAGGTGAATAGACTGTATGTCTAGCTTTTACAATTTAAAAGATTACGAACCCACAAAATTGGAAGAAGAATAAGAAGATTAATAAGAAACATAACAAAAACAATAGGTCTTTTCACCAGTTGGTGAAAAGCCCTAAAAATACTAACCTTACAACACAGGAGGCAAACAACGTCAAGCCTTACTCCAACGGAAAACACAGAATTCTACATAATGTATTCACTTCATTCATTGAATATTATTTTACCATTTGGTATTCTCTGTTAATGACGTATAGTGTAATTAAACAATAAACTGTTATCAAATGGGGTAACAGACGCCACTCTGTTTATCTTCAATCCGATTATGCTATATATATAAACACACTATACTATATACAGGATCAGAGATCTGACGGTTGAGAGTTACGGCCCTTGATGGGTGAGCAGCCATTATGGTCGACTCCCGATAAATTTCACTTAAATGACTGTTTAAGGATATACTGACGTCAGTAGAAAGCTGTGTATATGTGAACCTATACTGCTGCAATACCCGTCTCTTACTCTCATGCACATCCGCATTGTACGGACGTGTATGTTTCACGTGCCTACCATTGTTGATGTCATTCTGTAGCGATGAGTACGACGGTCCTGCACTGGCTTCTCGAGTATTCCTTATTGTATTCATGATTGTGACTTCATTTTATCTTCACGTTACATATGCTGCTTCTCCCATCGCTACCTGTATTATACGCTTACTTGTGAATTATATCTGACTTGCTTAATACTGATACATGAATCACTCCGTCTCTTCTCAGCGAGACAAGTGACAACGTGTAAGTTCATCGTCGTCGACAAACTCACCAATCCACCGTGAGAATACAAAATATAAACACTATACTTCTTCATCGTCATCTTCATTATTATCTTCTGACGATTCCTTTGCTGGTGTATTCTCGCCCACTCACATGAATATGTCACATGTATCCGCAAGTCAGTATGGAGTGCCCAATGTTAGTCCTCATAATTATATGAGCCCTTCTCCTCAGCCATTGTATTCACCGGGACAGCCTGCTATAGGTGGATTTAGACTTTCTGATGAGGATATCAATCGTGTCGTTCAGGCCTTGAAAATTTCCTTCCGAGAAGAAATTAATGAGCTTGTGGAAGCTGAGGTCAGCAAACGTGTAACACCCATACTTGTTCGTGTTGAATCACTGGAGTGCGAAAACCGCGATAAGATTCTCTGGGATCCAGGAGGACAAAGATGAGGATACCACAGCCAAAATCGTGGCGGCTGTTACTGCTGCTAGGGTTGACTTAAATCCTGCCGATGTGGAGCGTTTCCATCGAGTTGGTAAACCAGTCAGCAGGGCAGTCACCAGACTGTTAGACCACGCCAGATTATCGCGCACCTGAAATCAGTGGATGCCAAGTTTCGGCTTCTGAAAACTAGTAAGGCTTTTCGTAACGGTCCTCGCTTTGCCCATGTGTCCGTTAACGAGGATCTCACCAAACACAGAAATGAACTGGCCTTTCATGCGCGTAAGCTCGCTAAGTCGCACAAAATTCTCAAGTCCTGGACAACGAACGGAAAAGTAATGATTAAAGACAAATCCTCGGGTGTTTGTCAAGTCCGCACTGTATCTGATCTCGTCCCGTTTGGTCATGTATCTGCACCCGCTCCTCATGAATGAATCTGACACAAGTGTATTGTATATATAGGAATGTTCTGTTTTTCCCAGTTAATATTAGTTCAGTTTATAAACATTTTTTATTAATTTTCAGTTGCATATAATTTGAAACCTTTATATCTGTCTAGATTGTTCCTTTGATTAATATATCTATGTTGTACATGTAGTTATGTCGTATAAATCTTGTGGTATCCTGCTATTTACGTGTGTACATGCACGCGTACACTCGTGCGCCCGTCTTGTTGAATTTACACAATACAGCCATTTGTGAATGCTATTTCATGCTAATCTTTCTTACGTTTCACTCGTATACAAATTAACTTCTTTGTACATGTACGAAGTTCTGTTACATTTTAAAAGGCTCTTTATTTATTCATGTTTTGCTTTCCCAAAAATGCTTTTGTGGGCGTGTCTGTTTACGTTTGAATGGCCAATGAAATGTTAGCAAGCAATTTAAATTTGCATTGCACGTAAACAAGTTTGAACTGCTCCGTATTCCATTGTCGCTCACGTGTATGTATGTGCACCCATTCACTCACTGGGCTACTCCATGTCACCGAGTGTGCAGGTACAAGAAGTTGCGCAATTCTTAGACTAACTTATTACGGAAGAAATCTTTGAAGGTCAGTTCAGTGTTCATATCATAAGCCCCTTATTTTAGACTCGGCTTCCAATATCATAATTGTCTGAAAGTTGTGTTTTAGTAAGGTATCATCTGCCCGACACCTATCCATCAATAATTCCAGATGAAATAGTCCGTGTTATTGGTTGGTCAGTCAGGTGAAGTGTTTTTATAAGATCAGCCGACTCTTGGCTTCTCTAAAACAACACACATAGCTTGTTAGCTATACATACTACGTAAAGCAGTACAGATTTGGCCAGTGCTTAGTTGGTCGATTTTGAAAATTTTAATGATCGAACGTAACGTGTTGGTAATTGTTTCTTTTGCTATTTTTTTTTTTTTTACATTAAACCGACCTATTACCTGTATTTACCTGAATAGTTCTATAAATCGGTTGTCAGGTTCTATCGGTCGTTAGCCAATGACCACGAGAAATTTGCATATGTAAACACTGCCTGATAGCTCTTGGTACATGGGTGCGTGTACACATGCACATCCGTTGGTCGATGTCATATCTTTATTCGCGCGTATATTGGTATCACTACACGTGCAGCATAATTAATATTACTTTTGAATTGATATCCTTATATCTCTTTGGTGAACTTAATTATTTTCCTGTATTTTTTTCTCTTTTCATTGGTAATTGATTTATGGTATGATGTCACTTGCCTGACACCCGAGCTATCACTACACACAGATGGAATAATCTGTGTTATTGGCCGAGTCTGTTAGATAAGATGTTTTTATACGATCAGCTAATTCTTAGCTAGATAAACAAGTCGTGTTGTTCTCAAGCACATAAGTACTGTAGCTCATCAACACCC